TGAAATTACATCTAAAAAGGACTGTTTGTGATACTGTGGTGCTGACCTATCCGGAATTTCAGACCTTGATAGCGCAGGTTGAGGCTTGTCTCAACTCTAGGCCATTGTGTCCAACATCGGCTGATCCAAATGATTTAACTGCATTAACACCTAGGTCATTTCCTAATAGGAACGTCTTTAACTGCCATACCTGAACCAGACCTAAATTATAGTTCCTTCAATCACATTGACAGATGGCATGTGAGACAGTTTATTTTTCAGCACTTCTGGAAAAGATGGAGTCGAGAATACCTGTCTCAGCTTCAACAAAGACCTAAATGGCAAAAAAGTCAAAACAATTTAGAAGTCAATGACTTAGTCCTCATCAAAGAAGACAACCTTTCGCCTCTTAAATGGAGGTTAGGGAGAATAATTGCTGTTCATCCGGGCTCAGATCAAAGAGTCAGAGTTGCTAGTATTAAAACTGGTCATGGTGTCATTAAATGACCAGTCGTGAAATTGTGTCCTCTTCCTATTCAGACTAAAAAACTATGAACTGCTTCGCATATAATATTTTCTATTATTTTTCTTATGTTTATCTTTTATTACAGACTAAGAAGTTTCAAAATCCTCCAACTGTTGAAATCCCCTGGGATTTCAACAAGGGCCAGGATGTTTATGTGAGTATCGTTTGCTTCATTTTATTGTTGCAAACAGCGTAAATTCCTTTTGTTTTTCTTCTTTTAGTTTTGAACTTTATGTGTGGCAACAAGATAATTGATTGATAGAATTGTGTTTGTGACAGCCATGTAGAGTGGCTCGCTTATTTTGTATCAATTATTTTGCATCGCTGACAAGTGTAATTTAATAAAAGTGTAGGAATACAGTCCATTTGTTGATTGATTATAGTTTGTGAAACATATTAAGTTTAATAGAACACCGTATGATTGCTCAGTTAATCACCAGAGAAACCGATGAGATTGCAAACGATTATAAAGAAGTTAAAAGGATCTTATTAAAACGGTACAAGATAATACCTGAAAAATTTCGCCAAAAGTTTTTATGCACAATAAGAGTGTAGGAAACACATGGAAGAATTTTGCGTATGAGTTAAGAAATTGTTTTAATGAATGGATAAGCGGAATTAAAGAAGATACTTTTGAGAAACTTAGCGACCTTATTGTAGCGGATCAGATAAAACGTAAAGTGTCTCCAGAAGTAAAAGATCATTTTATTGACATCTGGTCTGAGTTGATTTTTCCAATTGATTTAGTTGAAAAACTAGATGATTATGATACCTTGAAGTCAACTTTTAACAATAAACAACCACGTAAAGAAGGGTCTTACGACAAACGAAACTCCTTTAAAGATGGTCCATTTACTACAATCAACGAAAAAAAAAAAAAAAAACTCCACGGTATCGCACATAATGAAAAAGGTGAACCAAAATGCTTCAGCTGTAATAATTTTGTGCACATCCTCAAGGGACTGTCCGCTGCCCAAACCAGTAGTAACATGCCGAAAATATAATAAAACAGGTCATAAAGCTAAAAATTGTGTTACTAAAGCTGAAAATAATCATTCAAATGATAAAAATTATTCTGTTGAGCGTATTGGCGAAAATATAGAAGAGAGCAATTCATATTTGAAGAGAGCAAAACTGAATAATTCTGAAGTACATGCTTTAATTGATACGGGGAGTTCTTGTTGTCTCTTAAGGACTTCAGTTGCTCAGAAACTTAAAGTGAAACCAGAACCTGTTATGAATGAATTGTACGGTTTTGGAAATCAAAGGAGGCCTGCAGTGACCTCTATAGGAATGATTAAAGCCGATATTGAAGTTGATAACGTAAAAGGCCAAGACATAAATATATACCTTGTACCTTTTAATCCACAGCCAATTGATCTAATAATCGGACGGACATGGCTTGATCTTCCTCACATCGCTTATGTCAGAATAGGAAAAAGATTTCACTTCGGGTATAGGGAAGATGAACTATTTAGTAACCTCCGAATTGATGAAAAAATAAATCGTGTCTGCCTTAAAACTCTTGAGGCAAATGAATTAGAGAAAAATACAATCAGTCTTGTCAGTTCTCAAACAGATTCTGTAGATAATAGATTAATTATGAAAAAAAATATTCCGAAGGTATCGGTTGTTTATTAGAAATTAAAAATGGGGAAACTTGTATACCAGTGATTAACGTTGGCGATAGAAGTGTTAAGCTACAAAAAGATCAATGCGTTGGGAGAGCAGAAGAAGTTGAACTATGTTTAAATACTGAAATTTCTGAATTGAGCTCGAACTTAACAAAAACGGAAAATATTGACAACATAAAAGTTCCTATAAGTTTAAGCCAACTTAAAATCGGTTCGGATCTCGACATTGATCACCAGCAAGAGTTATTGCGTTTTTCGAATAAATACAGAGATTGCTTCGCACTGAATATTTCAGAACTCGGGTGCACTGATCTCATAAAAACGGAATTTAAAGAAGATATATTCGTTCATCAAACTGCAGTAAAGAAAAACAATACAAAAAGTGTTGTTCGAAGTGTAAGAGATGGTGAATTAGGTGCATTTGAAGGTGTATGAGAGAAGAGGAATGAAGCTGCAAATCTGATTGGACTGAATCGCACTTCGGTAAAAAATAGTCCTTATGCTGCAAATAGAAATCGACAGTGGCCAACTGTTCTCTAAACACCATTTCATGCCAAGGCAAAGAGAGAATGACGAAAGTGATATAGTCAGAGCCAAGAGAATGTGGATGATAAGCAGCAACTACAACCTCAAAGGCCCATACGAAGGCAATTACGTCATCCTTACTTCAGGCAATATTGTAATTATCTATTCATAGGACTTCCACGAAACGTTGGACGTGATGGAAGTGAAGATGAACAAAATGAAAGAAAAAACGAAGAAAGAGTTTCAGGAGGTGGAAGAGACAATCACTTGAATCGTAGACGATTTTATCAAAGGTGCTTTAATAGCAAAACCCACTATCATAGGAATGACACTGAATGCAGTCAAAGTAGAATGGAAGAAGAAGCAACTAGTAAAGATACTGAAGCAAATGACGAAGAACAGCAGCCACGCGGTCAAGGATCTAGATCTTGTCCACTTTACAGATCAAAAATGGGTTTTCGAAAGCCCCACCAAGCTGATTGATGATTAACGTGCTAAAAACAGATCTTCGGAGGCCATCATTTCCAGAAATACAGAAGATGATGATAATGACGAGGTTGACGACGAACTTGAAAGGCCCAAGCGAATAGTGCGCAAACCATTGCGCTATAGAGACTTTGTGTAGGACTTCAAGAATTTTAAAAATTACTCGTATATTTGATTTTATTTTTTTCCTACCTACTAATTATATTTTGTTGTTGTTTATTTGTTGCTTTAACGTATGACAAGATTTGGTTCAATTGAGGACAATTGAAAAGTCAGGATGGTCGAATGTAAGCACGATTGTAAATTATTTAATTGTTATTAGACAAAATATCTATTGAGAAAATGGCAACAGCTAATTTCAAGATGTCGTTCTATTTTATAATTTTAAAAAGATATTCAGATGATGTACGCTTGAAATGTTTAACGGTACGATGCAGTAAGTACGTTTGTTATGTTATGTACGTTTACGAATACGTTACGTGTAAGTTATTAAGAATTATCTTTAAATAAATGTTTGTCTTTTACAACCATTTTATGAGTGATTAATTTAACTACAAAAGGAAGTTAACAAAAAAGACTTTAAGCACTTTTAAAAAAAATGCGAAGAAAAAGTAGCATAAAATCAAGCTTACAGGAATGCCATTTGGCGATACGGAAACCAAGCCAATTATTGCGTAAAATGCAATCACTTGTTGGAACAAATATAACGAATAAAGGTTTGTTAAACTAATGGCTTGGCAAATTCTCATAATATATTAAAAACATTTTGATTGTGAATAATGAAAACTTGGATAACTTATCGATAATGGCGGATAACTCAACCGAAGAAATTTATTCTGCTTGTGCAGATATTTCAGTAACGAATGCCTGATAAAATCTCTAAGGCATAGTCTGTACATACAGCTTTGGTCTGGACACCGTCGAGACGGAAGAACAGGTAGGTCTTTCTTGCGATCTGTGGGGCTACCTTCCCCCCACATTTCTTCGTTCTCCTCTTCGCGCATGCGTGATAAGAATATCATTTCTGCGCGACTGCAAAAAACATACACAATGAAACATGTTAATACAGTTAAAATTTTTTTTAAAATATGGCATTTGTTCATAAATAATTAATATCACATAAAATACATAATATAAAATGACAAAATAAATCAGTTTTTTTCTAATTCAGATTCTAAATTTAAGTTTGGTTTTCATTTGAACGTTTCTGACACATCATTATTGCATGTTCCAAACAAAACTATTCAGCACATCTTATGCAGGAATACTGGGTCAATCTACTTTTCTTATTTGTTTGACATGTAGAGCACATTTTGAATTTATTTTGGTTACTGGGAACCTTTGCTTTTTTTTCCTTCTTCAGCAGTTGGTCTGTAGGCTTGAAGTTTCATTTGCAAATCCTTCGATAAATTGGGTTTAGTCATGCGCCTAACAACTTCTTCATTGATTAATTCTTTCACCAGTATTTTCAAATACTCTCTCTTGTTCTGAACAGAATGCTGGTTTCCCAAAAACACAACTAGTCCGTTTATAGATGAAATATTTAGCATCGAATAAAATACTATCATCGGCCATCTCCTTGTATTGCGAGCGCAATTATAAGTTCCACACATCTTATCCAGAGCATCAACACCGCATTTTGTAGCATTATAAAATGTGATTATACCTGGCTTTTTTCATCTCTACTGTCTGCATCTATAGCATCAACAAAGTGCATACTTGATACAAGCAAAACATTTTCGCCTTTTTTCGATACGTATGAAACTAAAGTGCAGTTTTTAGAAAAACCAAATAAGCTTGAATGTACTTCTTTTCCTTTAGATTTCGCAAAACAGGGAGGTATTTCTTTTTCATTCTCTCTTATTGTTCCAACGTAAGAAAGTTTTTTTATCTTTCAGGGCTTTTACAATATCAATTCTGGCATATATTTCTAAATTCAATGTATAAAGCGTTTTAGCATCAACTGCTGCAAAAATTTTAATGCCATATTCATTTGGTTTTGATGGAATGCACTGGCGAAAAGGGCATCTTCCTCTAAAACTTTCTAATTTCTCATCTATCGTAACATTTTGTCCAACGTAATAATTACGCTTACATTTTTCCACAATTTTCTCAAAAAGTTCTCTAATAGGTGCTAATTTATCTGTTTTCCTTCTCTCGTTCCTCGTCTCTTTATCATCAAATCTACAGCATCTTGGAAGAAACTTAAATCGCTTCAAACTCATTACTGTTCTAAACATCTCAATACTCATTCCATCAGTAGACCACAATTCTTCAAAAATTTGTCGATTACTTCGCAAAACTCCAGCTAATAAAAGTAAACCTATAAATGCTTTTATCTCAATCATATCTGTTAGTTTTGCATCTCTTTCTCTACTAAATAGATCAGAAATTGTAGAAATGCATTTGTAAGTGTATTTCACAATTATTTCCAATACTTCATCAGAAAAAAAAAATCAGTTCCAAGAGTCGTATATAGTTTTTATACCTTTCGCATTTCCGATTACTACAGGAAATTTTGTGGTAATATTCTGCGATTCAACTTTGACGTTTTTTTCTTCCGGGCGATTTCGCCCATTTAGTGCTTTTGTCTTTTCCTACATAAAAATCACCATTGTTAGCATCATCATCAAGTTCTGAGTCATTATAATCGCTTTCAATACTTTCAGAATCCACTTCAAATGTTTCTAAAATATCCACTTCATCATCACTTTCATCAAATTCTTCATTTAATTCCTCATTTCCATCACTAAACAGAATATTATGGACTAGTTCAAGGTCTTTTTGATTATTCAAATCTAAAGAGCCTCTAGCACTCATCATGGGAAAAATAAATCAAAAATCTATAGTAAATCTCGATACTTCCATAAAGCTTCAGGATGCAAACGTTATCGGGAGCGTGTATCTGACAGATACAAATTTTCAAATAAGCTTAAAAACAGGAAATACCCCTACACTGAACTGGTCGTTACTGCATTCCAAAGGAGGGGGTGGCCAGATGGACAGATACTTATAAGTTCAAGGTCGTGAGAAGAAGTTTAAGGGTACAAAAACAGAGATTTGGACACGCCTTTATCTGTCAGATCAAACACGCCCGATGGAGTGTTAAGGACGATACTATCGTTTCAACGCAAGCACCTGAAATCAACAGAATCTCAGTTAAAGTACCGCAGTTTTGGAAAGATAATCCAAGTATTTGGTTTCGCCAGATTGAAAGCCAATTCTTTAACAGTGGGATAACTACTGATATCACAAAATACCATATAGTGGTAGGCCACATCGAGACTGACATCTTAAGTCAGGTAAGTGATATAATTGATCCTTCTCCAGATATTGATGCTTATGACACTCTTAAAAAAAAGATTAATTGAAGTATTTTCTGACTCTGAAGAACAAAAATTAAGAAAACTTTTGAGAGACATTGATTTAGGCGACAAACGCCCATCTGTTTTACTCCGATAAATGCAAGAACTGGCAAGACCTCTCTTCGGAACTGAATTACTAAAATCATTGTGGTTTCAACGCCTTCCAGCTCAGATGCAAGCCATATTGGCCTCTTCTGATATCGAACTTAAAAAAATTAGAGGCTATGCCTAACAAAATATCTGGCATCACAAGTCCTACTCAGCTTCATGCAATGTACGTGAAATCGAAAGTAACTAATTCTAATGATACAAGTGAAGCTTTAGATAATTTACAGAAACAAATATCTCATTTAAATAAAAAAGTGTATAAACTTTTTACATTGTATTCTCGTGTTCTATCTCATTCTCGTAGTCGTTCTAATTCTAGACCTAGATACTTGCCCACGAATAAACAAACCGAAAACACATCCATGTGTTGGTACCACACCAAGTTTGGCGAAAAAGCCGTTAAATGCAACAAACTTTGCACTTTTAAATCGGAAAACTAGACGGCTAAGCATGTGTGGCGACGAACGCCATAGAGCAAAATAATTGTCGCCTCCTTTGAAAAATCTTTAAGCACACATTTTTTGGTTGACACAGGCGTTGAATTATCTGTTTTGCCTCCTACTCCACCAGACCGATGTAAAGCAACATCATTGGTCAATTTAATTGCAGCAAATAGTACCAAAATTGATGTATATGGAAAACGTTTAGTCAATTTAGACAGGTTTACGCCGAATTTTTCCATGGATTTTTACTATTGCTAATGTTTCGCGACCAATTTTGGGCTCAGACTTTTTAAGTAATTATGGTATTATTGTTAATTTGAAATTAAAAAATTAATTGACAGCATGACTAACGTTAATTAGCATGACAGATGGCAAGATATCACGGGATACTGTACCCAAAATTACAGTTTTACAACCGTTACATGTGTTTAATGATTTACTTAAAAAATATGATTCTCTGTTTCAAGATGTTTTAAAACAGCCTTTGGATAACAATACTCTTGGAATTACGCACGTAATCGAAACTAAAGGTTCTCCAGTAGCAGCTAAGGCTAGGCGCCTAGCGCCTGACAAATTGGCTGCCGCAAAGGCAGAATTCACTTATTTAGTGCAAAAAGGCATTCGTAACCCTTCTAAAATCTGCTGGAGTAGTCCTCTGCACATGGTAAAAAAGCAGGATGGGTATTGGCGGCCTTGCGGGGACTACCGTAAATTAAATTCAATCACTGTTCCAGATAATTATTCAATTAGACATCTACATGATTTTACATCTAATTTGAGCAATAAAACTGTTTTTTCAACATTAGACCTCAAGAAGGCATATCACCAGCAGTGGCGTAGAGACGGAGGTGCAAGGGTGCATGATGCCCCGGGTGCCGCTCATAGAGGGGCGCCAAATGGTCTCCAAACAAGATTTTCCGGAAAAATGAGTTTTTATTTTGATCGATTTTGGAAAATATATTTAAAATTAATAACTATTGTAATATAATTAATTATTTATTTTCTTGATTTGTCTGATAAAATGTGTAATAAAATGTTTGCAGTACATCAACCAAAACGTTCTTTCTGACCATTTTATTTCTCCAAAGTAGAGATGTATTTTTATTTTTTTAAACAAAATGCACGTATATCTCCCACTTTTTTATTTTAAAACGATAACACGACCTTGTTCTGAATTTCTCAAACATATCCAGTTTCCAAAATCCGATTCCCTAATCTGGAAATGACATTTTGTGAAAATCCTAACGCTTCCGCTACAATGGATTGCGTTTGACTCTCCTGTAAACGACTGATGGTCTTCCAGTCTACCGATTCAACTAAGTCATCTTGCTGAGACATCGGACTGATTGCTATAAACAATCAACTCTTGTCAGTTGTTTTTAATCTCCTACTACAAAAGGAATGCTGCAGGACGCTTTTCACTCCTTATCTTAAACGCATAGTTTTCGAAGTCACAAACTAAATTTGCATATTACCAACTTTGTAAACGTTATAATTTCCCTTTATAATCTCTTCTACTTCCTTTTGTTCAAAAAGGTTGTCGATTATATGGTTATTTCATACCGAACCCACAATATCCCCTAATTGTTTTGAGCAGTAAATGTGACTTCATGACGTTACTCCACAGTAGAAAAGAAACGGAACCTAAAACTCCACTACAGATCTATAGAGAAAATGTTTTTCCAAGCCTAAGAGTGGCACTTCAAATACTACTTACTATTTCATTATCAAATGCTAGCTATGTACGTTCGTTCAGCAAATTAAAATAAATTTTCACATATTTATAATCAACGATGGGACAAGATCCCCTAAGCCATCTAGCATTTTTAAGTATGGAAGGAGAAAAATTTGAAAGGATCGACTTTGATGAAGTAAATGATACATTTACTTTTCAAGACTTTGACGAAGTAAATGATAAATTTGCTTTTCAAGACTTTGACGAAGTAAATGGTAAATTGGTGGAAGATTTGCTTTTCAAGAGGGTTTGTAGTTCTGAGTCCCGGTGTTGTTCATCCGCAAGGGCAGCAAAGTTTATTCGCGAAGGAACGGCTAGTTGTTCAATACGAGACAAGGTGTTTGCAACAATATTCTGCGAACCCTCAATATAACGGATATCTTTTGAAAATTGCCCTATGAAGTCTAGGTGTCTTATTTGACGAGGAGAAGCTTTATCCGAACGCTGTTAAAAAGCATAGGTTAAGGGTTTGTGATCTATGAAGATCATGAAAACGCGTTCGACCCTCTAGCATATGTCGAAAATATTTGACAGCTTCATAAATTCCTAATAATTCGCGATCGTGAGTGCTGTATCTGGTTTGTGCTGGTGAGAGTTTTTTAGAAAAATATGAAAGTGGTCTCCATAATTCTTGATCTTTCTGTTGTAAAACTGCTCCTATACCTGTTGTTGATGCGTCAACGTGTAGAGACATTAGGTTATTTTTTGGCAAGCAGAAGATATGAAAAATATGCAACGCCTTCGCCGGGAATCGAACCGCGGAGCCTCTGGAGTACCGGCCCAGCGTGCAGAACCACTACACCACGAAGGCACGCTAGGAAAGCGGGAGAAATACCTTATAAACGTAGAGTGATAATAGTTTAGATGCGGAAGGATACTGCAAATTTGTTGCCGAAATTAAATCATTTTTGCATTTTTGGAACGCTTCGCGAGATTCTGTGGTCCAGGTTATAACACGTTTATCGTTTTTCTTGCTTCCAACCAAAAACGAATTTAGAGGTGCTTGTATGGTCGCTGCATGAGGTAAGAAACGTTGATAAAAATTGAGCATAGCAAGATTCTTAAGTCCTTCACTGAAGATGGTACGGGTGTATCGCGGATAGCGGTGACTCTATCTGGAAGGGTTCGAACGAAATCAGCGGAAATTTCATGACCAAGAAAGGATACTCTTGGTTGGCCAAAAACGCATTGGGAGGATTAACTGACACCGTATCTTTGAAAACGTTCAAAAACTGTTCTCAAATGTGTTAGGTGTTCTTGCTCTGAAGAAGAGGCGATTAAGACGTCATCAAATTAAAGTGCACAAAAGTCGAGGCCGATTCACAAATGATTCATGAAGCGTTGGAACGTTTGAGCAGCATTGCATAAGCCGAAAGTCATGACCGGAAACTCAAATGGTCCAAAAAGCGTAATAACCGCAGTTTTTGGAATATCAGCTGGGTTAACGTGCAGTTGTTGATACGCCCGCTCAATATCAAGGGTTGTAAAAAAAGCTTTTCCCTCTGAAACTTGCATACAGTCTTGAATGTGAGGATCTGGGTAACGATCAATAATTGTAGCTCCATTTAACCGACGATAATGGCCGCACGGGCGCCAGTTACCATTTCGTTTCCGAATTAGATGGAGCGGACTGGCTCATGAACTTTTTGAAGGAAGGCAAATTCCCTGTTCCATCATGTATTTAAATTCCTCTTTGG